GGGGCTGAGCACTGAGCGCGCCGTCAGCAGGTGCCCGGGGGCCAGGCCGTCGAGGGCAGCGCGTGGGTGGGAGCTGGGAGGCTCCTTGTTCAAGCCCAGGATCTCCTGGATGCCGAACCCTGTGCACCTGGCCGGGGCGCCCCCCGAGGTACTCTTGGCCACTGCCTCAGATTTGGGCTTGCTCAGCGCTTCCCCCGCTTTCCCCGTCATCTCCTGGTTCTTTGGAGGGGCTGAGGCCGTCGGTCTTTTGCTCCCCCCACACCCGCCCCCCGCAGGGCTCCCCGCTTAGGGAAGTTGGTCCCAGGTGCCCCCTCCGGTGTCTAATGCTCTGGAGCCCCAAGGAGATTCCCCTTTTATCCAACCAGGCGGCAGCCCAAGTGGGGTCAGAGCTGAACAGCCAATCACCGGGGCCAGGAGCGATTAGGAATTCCAAAAAGCTGGCAGCTCCCGGCGGCGCTGGCAGCTCGGAGGGGCCAAGGCGCAGCGACCGGCCTAGCATCGTTAGGCTCTGCAGGATGCCCTTGGGCAGGAACCCCTGGAGCAGAGGTGAAACGAGAAGATTCAAGGCTCTTCCAGGACTCAGGGATGGATAAGGGCTCTGAGCACAGCCTAGCTGGGCCCAGCTGGGCCAGGACAGGTGGTCTTTGGGGTGGGGTGGGAGGATGGGCTAAGGGAGAAGCCAGAGGCTGTTCTGCAGGTCCCGCAGCCACAAAAAGGTCTAGATGTGGGGCCCTGGTAAAAGGTGAGACAAGGAGGAGCAAGGGCCCTGAACAGTGTGTGTGGTGGCAGTGGGCATAAAAGAAGACAAAGATGTGCAGAGCCAGCTGTGGGTCGCGGCCCTGTCAGGGCTTTCCTTCCTCCCCAACACAGGACACAGTACCTGGTTCCAAAGAGCTCTACAACAAATAAAGGCCGGAGGAATGGATACATAATAAAGGGCATAGCAGGGGTCCCGGCAGGGCGGAGCCCTGATGACTTTTGGGAGAATATCTCCCTGGAGCAATTATTCCTAGGACCTTTATTCACCACTCAGTCATCCCTTGGACACGTATTAAGCACCTACTAGCTCTGAGCCAGGGGCCAGGGGCTCTGCAGTAAATCAGACAGGAGGCAAGGGCCTGCTCCAAGTCAGAGTTCATTAAGCAAACAGAATGAAGAGGTAGGGACTGTGGGTGTGGAGGGCGAAGGAAGAGGAGGGGACAAGTGGCATCACAAAGAGGAGCTGCTTGTCCTAGTTGATGAAGACCCTTTGGCCACCTCCTGCCAAAGGCAGGGAGAAGCTGCCGGGAATCCTTCAGGGAGGACGAGACCTTGGCCTGGATTCCAAAGATGGCAGGGGAGCCGCTGGTTTCCCATGTCCTCTGAGTGTCCTGTCAACTTGGCAGGCAATGCTCCAGAGTCCCTGCAGTCCCCCACCTCAGCTAGCTCCACTGTGACCTGCCCGGGGCTCAAAGCTGTCATCTTTAACTTGGGATTCCCCTTCCACTGCACTTAGCATCCCACAGGATTTTTTGGTTTGGTTTTCTTTGTCTTGAGACAAGGTAATAGTAAAGCACAGTCTCAAAAAAAAAAAAAAACTATTCAAGGTAGGCTCAAACTCGTGATCCTCCCAGAATTCTGGGATTACTGGTGTGTGCTACCAGACCTGGCTTCAAATAGGTTTTAGTTCAAACAGATTTTAATAAAGCTTTCTTGCTGGGCCTGGTGACACATACCTGCGATACCAGCACTTAGGAGGCTGAGGCAGGAGGATCACTGTGAGTCCAAGGCCAGCCTGGGCTAAATAGTGAGTTCAAGGTTAACCTTAAATACAGAGCAAGACCCTGACTCCAAAAAACAATAACCAATTGAGCCCTATGTGTGCTGTATTAACACACAGTCCTAAGCTAATTTTCAAAAGGAAATGAAAATTAAAATCATAAAATATGACTTAAAAAGAAATAACCAAAAAAAAAAAACAAAACAAAAAAAAGTTTCTTGCCAGACATGGTAGCACATGCCTGTAATCCCAGCACTCAAGAGGCTAAGGCAGGCGGACCGCTGTGAGCTCAAGGCCGGCCTGAACTAGATAGTAAGACCCTGTCTCTAAATAAATAAACAAATAAAGGTTTCTTGACTTGAAGATACCCTATGAGGGGAGATAAAGATGGCATCGGTTGCTTTGGGAAGAGATTGGAAACCCGGGCTGGGAAGAGTTTCCGTCCAGGATCTCTTGGCCAGTCAGCTGCAAATCCCTTCTGAGCATCTTCAGTCACTGCCAAGGTGTCTAGGACTCTCTGTGGCCACCATGAGGCCAGATTGAGAGGTAAAGGAGACTCTCAGGGTGGAAATTCGGCCTTACTATTAGGGCTGCTGTGAGGCAGGGCTTCATCCACTCTGCTGTGGTCACAGGGGAGTTGGAATTAAGCAGGGGCATTGTGCAGCACAGGAGGTATTTGGGAGAGGTGTCCACGCCATCTCTGCTGTGCACCTACTCTGTCCCTTTACTTAGTCTCTGGTCCTCAGGGTAGTTGTGGTAGCACCTTGGCTGCACACCTGAGAATTGGCTTAGCAGTTCTCACTTGCCAGGTGTGGAGATCTGAAATCTTGACACATCCTTCATCTTGCATTTGTTGGAGTTGGGCTACAAGTGCACTGTTCATATAGGCAGCAGTGTAAATGGTGACCCCCAAATAGTACCAAGTACTGTTCTTGACTGCCAGAGGAGTTTCTATTTCTATTTTACAGATACAGAAATCTAGGTTCCTTGAGAGGTTACCTATTCAGCAAGCAGCAGGCAACCTTGAATATCCAATGTCAGAGCTATGCGTGTGTGTGTGTGTGTGTGTGTGTGTGTGTGTGTGTGTGTGCGTGTGTGCACTCACGCACGCATGTGTCTGTCTGTGTCTGTCTCATTTTTTTCCCCCCAGGACTAAGAATTGCACTGAGAGCCTTCTGACTGAGCTATATTCCCAATCCTTCATTTTTTTAGTTTTATTTTGAGACAAGGTCTCCCTAAATTGCCCAGCCTGGCCCAAACTTGTTATCCTCCTGCCTCAGCCTCTCAGAGTGCTGGGATTATAGGTGTGCCTCTCCACACCCAGCTCAAAGCTGCTCTCTTTGGATGTCTTACCTCTCTCTGCCTCCTCTCTGTGTCAGCCTACTTGGGAGGATGGATGGTGATGCTGTTAATGGCATCTGTCCTGTCCCGACTCGTCAAAACACAGCCACTGTGAGCCAGATGCCAGCCGGCGGGCAAGGACGTGAGTGATGGAAAACAAGTGTGTGAGAGATAAGTCAGCTCTTTGCCGGGAGGATGAAAAATCTCTTCACCAACCCCATATCTAAAACTCCCAGTTCTCAATCTCAGGGAGACAGGGACAGGGACAACCCCCCTACAAGGCATCCATACAGAGGCTGTGGGTAGAGGGAGGACCCAGCATCGGGCTAGCATTTCCTTAGGACCTGGACTCCTGGACAGTCACCTAGCAGGGGTGCCATCTCCAAGCTTTGGGGTGTCATTGTTGCTGCTCTATAGCTGCCCAACTTAGGCCAAATGCAGTGTGAAGACAGTTACAGAGTATGGGGAAACCCCTATAAGGAAAGATGGGACCCAAGGCTTGGGCCAGGCATGGGGAAATAGAGTAACCCTTTCAGAGGCAGTTAGATTGTGGATTGAATGGATCAACACCCTGGTCTGCTTTGAGCTGATCATTTAACTTCTCTCTTAACTTCTATTGCTTTACCTATAAAATAACTTACACCAGAGCTGTGGGCACCCTCTGGCCCCCTGAGCTCACACATAGGTCAAGGGCATGGACGCTAGAGCCAGGCTGCCTGGTTTCAGACTCCTGCTCTATTATTTGCTTGGTAACTTCAGGAAAGCTATCTATAAGATGGGGTTACAGTAGCATCTACCCCTCAGAACTGTCTTGAAGATTAGAAATGAGCAGTGCCAAACACAGTGAAGGAGGCCTCCCATGAGTGTACATCACCAGGCTGCAAGCCGGGGCGAGTGCTCTTCACAGTGCCATCATGCAGGCATATGCCACGCTTGGGACTTACAATGTGGCTGGGAGCAAGACAGACGGAGTCCCCGACTGCATGATGAAGGAGGTGAGTGACTGTGAAACACTTAGCAAGGTCCGTGGCCCTGGAGACTGCATACATGGTGGCCCCCGTACTACTATGATCAACAGCTGCCAGGGCTGGGGATTTAGCTCAGTGGTTCCGCTGCCTGCCCAACAAGCACAAGGTCCAGAGTTCGATCCCCGATACCCAAAAAACAAACAAAAAACAAGCTGCCAGGCCCCTTACCTCATTAGTTCACTCAGCTTTTCTGAGAGCTTAGGGCTTCTGTTCCCCTTGTGAAAAATAAGACAGGGTCGGGGATTTAGCTCAGTGCCGCTGTGCAGGCCTCACAAGGTCCTGAGTTTGATCCCTGGTGCAAAAAAAAATTTATTTTAAATTAAAAATAAGACATTAAACTTTGGGCTGAGTGTGGTGGTGGTGCACACCTGTAATCCCAGCACTCAGGAGGCTAATGTAGGAGGTTCCCTGCATTTTGAGATTAGTAAATTCAAAGCCAGCCTGCACTACATAGTGATAGCCTGTCTCAAACAAACAAATGACAGCGAAGTTGAAGCTCAGAGGGAGGTAAGGGAAGAGGAGGGAACACGTTGCCTTCTCCTTTACCTTTGTGTTCTTCATTTTTAGAACCAGCTGCAGCCAAACCATCCTCCCCAGTCCCCATGTCCCTGAGTTACAAGCAGCCATCAGCGACAAATTTTGGGGAGGGGTTGGAAAAATGCAGGGAAGGGAAGGAGGGGTGTTTGAATCAATAATCCCATTATAACTCTTTACCCATGAATGTGTTTTGCTGCTCTGAATGCTCTTGTGGATCTTGAGCTAAACTTAGGGAGGGAATTTTTATTTTTTAATTTTTTTCTCTTAAATTCTTTTTTTTTTTTTGGTACCAGGGATCAAACGTGGGTCCTTGTGCTTGCGAGGCAGGCGGCAGAACCACTGAGCTGAATCCGGCCCTTTAAATTCTTTTATTGCTATAGTTAGGTATACAATGCATTTACATTCATCATAGGGAACCTGTATCTTCTTTTTACATTTCTACACGATGTATCTCGGTGTTTATTTTTTTTCCCCGTGGGAGGGAACTTTTATCTGTGTACTGAACAGCTCTCCCTAGAGTCTCAGAGGGTCCCAGCCTGTAGGCCCTACTCTCTCTCTTCCTCCTATCATCAGACATCAGACTAGAGGCTGATGCTAGGAGAAAAGCAAGAGGGTTTTTTTTTCCCCCTCTTTTTCTCTT